CATAATAAAAACGTGTTGAAAGCACGGTGCCCCCGAAATAAAAAATAATATTACAAAAAAAATGAAATGTTTTATAAAAAATGTTTTTGAAAAATTTAATTCGATTAAGGTTAGAAGTTTAGTTAAATAATGAATTATAACATCTTTGAAAAAAATGCAGGATATGTAGAATTGAGTTGTCTATACTAATTATATAAAGAGAAGTCCCTTTTTTGTAACAAGTAATCTCGCAAACGGCAGATCTGGTTTTCATGAGGTTTTGTATATAAACAGCTTTCAGCAACAGCGATGTCAAGGGCCAAAAAAAAATTACCTTTTCTCCGTTGGGGGACCAGGGACCGATCTATTCGAAAAAAAAACGTATTTTTGGTCCGATGTGCTTAACACATCCGTGCATTAACATATAGGCTACTTTTTTTCTGATAGGTCGTACATGTATTATAGATATACATAGAACAGAATCAAAAGGTGTTTTAAGGCGCCGCAAAACAAGCGGACATTGGCTTTTTATATTTGATTATTACCTATAAGAAAATTATATAAAGAGAAGTCCTATCATAAAAATTGATCTCAGAAACGGCTTTACCGATATTTTGGACATCTTTTGGTTATATGTTGATAATAAGGGTGCGTTCAGAAATGTATTAAACCAAAGCATTAGCATCTTTTAATTCTAAACTATAATTGATGGAAATTTCTTATTAACGCAGCTAAGTTCCAATTCGTCTTATAACCGTGGTTGGGCACATTTGAAATTTCAATCAATAATAGTTTAGAATTAACAGATACTGATGCTTTGGCTTGATGCATTTCTGAACGCACCCTAAATTCAATATATCAAGGGAGCGTGGCATCTCCGATACAAATCGAATTTTTCATACCGCATATATCCCTAGAAGTATTTGCGGTAGAGTCCTGGAAATTGATATGGGGGTTTTGAAATCAATGCCATACTCATGTAGAAAATTGGCGGCTGTGGGAACGGGGGGCATGGCGCCTTCCAAACACACTAAAACTTTTACTGCTCTGTAAATACATAACAAATTCTTCGGTATGTTTATTTGTGAGTGAACTCCTCCTAACGGACCGAAATTATTATAATGACATTTCTTTATGTATCTTAGTGGGCCCCTGTATAGTTTAGGTGCGCAAATTAAAACGCCAGATGGCGCTGGAGTCAAGTTAATACAAAAAACCATATTTATCATCTGATCTGGCTAATATTCATATATAAGTATTGGTAACTTGAAGGGGAAAAAATGCTCGCCAGCTGGCTTTAGAGTCGAGTTGTTACTAAAAATCGTATTTATGGTCCGATTTACCTAAGAATCGAGATATATATTGGTAGTGGTTGGGGTAACACTATTCCAAAAAAATAGCAAAATGGCGCTGCAGTCGGGTACTGCTAAGAATCGTCAAGTGAAGTCATTCGGCGACACCAGGGATCAAAGTCAAATTGCGGCGACTAAAGTGGAAACAGATCTTGAATAAGGGTATGTATATTGGATTCCTGTGGAACAATGATACTCCCCCATTTTGAAATAGCCACCAACTGTACTATACAGATTCAAGGATGATTCACCATCGAACAGGATCTCATTGGAGATTTGTATGTGCATAAAGCGCATACATAAACGGCCTGTACTATTAATGTATTTGAATGAGAAAGGTTCAAAACAAAATAAGTAATTTCACTAAACATTATAACCACTAAATTTAAATACATACAACAGAAAAGAGCATTTACTTCTGATATGTATACCTAGATGCTCTAGGAATATTTCTGCATCAAAAATAAAATTTTGAAAAAAATGTCGCTTACGTTATTTTGGCGGTTAGGGCTCGATATGTTTGTGTGTACAATAAATATATCTCAAATGATTAGCATATAAAAGCATTTTTTGCCCACAAGGCATTCAATTTTTTGTGCAAAATTATGGCCATTATTTCTGGGTACAAACATGGAAAATATGTCTGCAAAAGAAAATAAATCTCACTTTATAACTGTTAGTATACCGTACATATATGTGTATGTATGTATGCACGCAGGTAAATAAATTTAAATGTATTCGCATAAGCTCTCAGCTTAGTATAAATGTTCACCTGTATAACTGTATACTACTCGTTTGCCTTTAGCCATTACGCATCCAACTTCATAACTTTCTTTTATAAATATACACATGTGTGTCTTTCTCATATTAATGTTTTAGAGTGTGGCACAAAGTAAATGTTAAGTGCTTCAGACAACGCAAAGATACACGTTTTAAACGGGATTAAATAATATTTTGCCATAAATTTTCCACTTATACTTACCGCAAACACGTGTATTAGCGCTTACATATGAGCATGCATGTATATACATACAAACATATGTATTATGTTTATACACAAACAAATTGCGGAAATATAACCGCAAGGATAACCATTGCGGTGCTCAGCGGACACGTATCGTTGGCGGACAAGTGGCTCGTATGGTATTTAAAAGAGGATTTATGCGAAAAGTTTTCAAATACATATATGCAGGTATGTACATTATGGTGGTTCTTAAAAAACCAAACGAACGATATCACATATAAATTTTGTTTCCGATTGGAGACGGTTTAAGGCGTGTCGCACAGGGCGCAAAGTACAGATTCCTCTATAGAGACTTAAAAAATTAAAATTATGGGAGTCGGTTAAGGCGTGTCGCAAAGGGGCCAAAGGCCAGATGCGTCTATGAATTCAAAAACTTAAAATTATATTCTTCAAAATCAATACTACTAACGTCGAAAATATCACATAAAAATTTTGGTCCCGATTGCAGTCGGTTAAGCCGTTTTCATAGGGTAATCTGAACTTTGACCCCTATGCGATACGCCTTAACCACCTCCAAACGGGACCAAAATTTATATGTGTTATCTCCGACTGAAAATAGTAGCAATGACGTAGGGTTTGAGGCTTAGGAAATCTGATGTAAAAATTTGCTTCCTACATTTGAGGGCCACCCTAATGTACGTATATAGCACATATGAGCAAATTTAAATGAGTGTGCGTGTGCACATTTTTTTCTAATATGCTTAGAGTTAATACTCTGCTGGAAAATATAGTATCTTTTTTCTTACTGAGGCGCAGTGTTTTTGTATCCATGGGCTCAGGAGTGTAATTTGGGCGGCAGCATGCAGCTCTAACCACTCGGCTTTGGCGGCCGCCAGCTTTATTTTGGCAAGTTAATAAGAAAATAAATGATACATTTATTTTTTTATGCTCGGCTAACAGCTAATCTAAACTTCTTTTTTAACAGCCATATCAAGAATTTTTAGAATTTTTTTCTGTCTTTTTATATGCGCGTCACTCGAAAGCTAATGCAGGGAATTGAGTACACTTTTCACCGATGTATTGCTAGATATCTAGCTTAAAATATAAAAGAAAAAAAAATATTTAGGTGCCAAATGTAGGTAAATTTCAGTTGAAGTAATTGATAAAAAGTTTTTAATAATATACTTAAGAACGCTTACAGCCGAAAATATTTTTGTGGAAGGTTGCCCCTGTTTCTGAAATTTTAACTTGATTTAATTGCTAATATAAATTAAATACTGCAATGTGAGTATTAAACCAGAGAGATTTAGGAATGTTTACTGCCACAAATATTATTGAAGAGGGTTGCCACCTTTTTCAAAAATTGTTTTCAATTAAATTCATGAAATAATTGGAATATTATAAAACGGAGATTAGATTAAAGAGGTTTAAGAAATTCTCATTTTCGTGGTCGGTTTTGCCGACAGGATAGGAGTATGATGTATTTTGGAACGATTTTCTCAGAACCAAAAATGACACTGAAGATGGCACAACGCCGAAGCCGGTTTGTTTCCAAAACAAATTTGACAAGGGAATACATCAGGTTCAAGGAAGTAAAATATTTTTGAAGCCATATTTTTTTTGTCACATATTTGAAAATTTTAATTCATTTAAAATGATAAGAAAAGGTAGATATTAAATTAGTACACCTTTGAAGAAATTCCGCGATAGGTCGACTAAATTTATAAATTTATAAACTAAATTCCAAAGATAAAGTCGATATTTTAGTTACTTTCTAAATAGCTTCGAAAATATGTTAACTAATACCCACATTCATAAAAAAATAAGGAATGCTTCATAAATCGAAAATTTTAAGATACAGTGAAGCAGGTCGTCGGTCATTTGCTAGTATTGAAATAAAAAAATGCGCTTTCAAAATTTTAAACTGAAAAGTGGCTTCATAAGAAATATATGTAGTTTTATGCCATTAGAGTGTGATCACAATTCCTAGTATGGGGCCATCGCGCCAGTTACGGATGTAGCATTTCTTCAAGCAATTATCTCGGCAAAGGTTCGCACAACGCTGCCTTTCAAGGTGTCTAAGATATATAACTTCCATCGCGTTCACCAAATGTTTTGCGTGTGCTTTTTGTGAATTCGCACATTCTGCAAGCGTTGCTCTGCCGATAGTTTACAAACGATAACAGGAGAAACCAAACCGAGCACCGTCTTTGATAGCATTGCCAGGTCTGAACAATTTGCGGCCGTTTAATCTTTGCCGGGAAGGGTGCCTTACATTTGAATGCTATGATTTATAAATAGTCTGAATTTAATGTTTGGTTCTGAAAAATTAACTGCATTAAGTGCAAGTTATGATTGTTTGAATTACATAATTTGATGGGTACTCATCTAAACGCGTAAACTCCTCGTAAACCGTGTTAAGCGCGTACATTTACGGCCTCGTAAATCGGTTGTCAAATTTGTTTGAGATGTCATTTACATAAAATGTGCACACTTAAACGGCAACTTCAGTGCATAAAAATGTGATAAGTTTAAGCGAAGGGTAAAGTAAAGAAAAAACGTATCAACATGACAACAAAAAACAAATTCAAGTCACAATTACATTTAAACCGTCACATAATTTAGCAGGAAATACACTTAATGCGCCAGAAACTCAATTTTACAATTCTTTCTATAAATTTTCTTTTTTACTACGTACAAAATACTTGTATATGGCACATACGATAATTTCGCCCACAAGAAAAAAAATGCATTGTAACATACGATAAAATATGCAGTAAATTTTTGGCGTCCCTGTAGGGCTTTGAGCTGCAATGTTTTGCAATGTTTGCATTGTGGGGTGTAGAATATATTTGCATCGAAAAGTCGAATTTCAAAAAAAAATAGCACATACTATAATTTCGTGCACAGGGGTCGACGACGAATTTCGTAAAGAAAAAAAATGTTCGAACCTAGATCAAATTGTTTGGGCTGAACATACAGCAGACGGCCCCAGCTATTCCTAATTTATAAATATAATTACTGTTATAATATCATAATTTGTTCATAAATTCTTTTTAGCTATGATGCCGCGTATATAATAAATCAAATTTTTCTAAACAAATACTATATTGTGTTACTCAATTGACAATTACAGTTTATTTCACAGTTGTCAACCGAAAAAGTTTTAGTGTGATACAGGATTCGAGATCAGTGAGCCTTAAAACATAGTAGGTTTAATTCTTGGGGAACTTGTCTTTATTGCTAGAGAAATTGACAACCTTTTCGGCAGTTCTACACCCTTAAGGTTTTAGTTTGACGTAAATTCGTGACAGCTGCCAACTGCCAAATTAAAAATTTGATGGCATATTAGAATTGAGCATAACAAAAATACTACGATACTACTTAACATAAATCTTTTTTGAGTTGACTTAAGCGGTTATGGATATTTGGACCAAAGATACGTAGTCATTAATTAACATTTACATTCTGGTTTCCTTGCAAGCAAACTTTTGTATGGAGTTTTCGGCCACTTGTCTTCTTCGTTAAAATTTAAAGTTTAACAATTTCAGGTTTTTTTTTCAATTACCAGTGCCCGGAACCAGTGTCATAGCAACTGTGCATAAATTTTAGTTGTTATAAGAACTGGACGTTTTTTGCCCAGTTTTTAAATGCCCCAGAATGTATGTAAAGTTTTAAAGTACTTTTTTTAATTTTCAAACGTTTCATTAACCCAAAATATTTCAGAAAGAAACACAAACCAAATTTTATGATTCACTTGCGGTAGGAGTCTATTTATGCAAGAGTGTGAAGAAGGAAACGCATTTCTTCCCAATGTGGTGAAATAATATATTTATTGCCAAAAGCGGTTATAAAACAATGAAATTCTGCATTGCTTTTTACAGCAGATGTCCTTATTGGCAAGAACTCGTACACACTTTTCACTGCTTTTGTAATAAACAATCCAAGTATCTTTAACAACACTAAATAATTAAAGCTTGCATGGTTCTCGATACTTGCATTCGTATTCGGCGTACATTTGGCGCTTACATACATGCTAGTTTTTGGCCAAGGTTCCTCCAACCTCCAATATGTAGTGTGCGCTTTGATGCTGTTACACAAATGACCTATAATTTTACCNGTATAAGAGCTGACAAATTTATGCAATTGCAGAAATATGCCATGGATTGTGAGCGACCTTTATTAAACTGTCATGGCAAAGCTTTTGCAAAACAATTTTTGTGCATCAGCTTTGGTTTTGTTTATGAATGCAATGCATAGCATTTTTATGCTATGGATTTTCGGTATTGCAAATTTGCCAAGCCATGACAAATGCAAATGCGTGTATTTTGTTTGTGTATTGCAAATAATTTGCAATACAAATTTGCAATGCAATGATGCTAGGCCATTTGCACCGGATCGCGAATAGCCCTATAGTAAAAACAACTTTTTTTGCACAACGTGCATTCTGCAGTTTTACACGTCGTATCAGTAACGTCAATATATATGTATTTGTTTCCTTTAATGTGAAGCTTCTATCTTTGGATTTATACAAAAAATGGCTGCTAATAACAAAAATAAATTAATATATTAATGTGCGCCTTTTTTTTTTTGATATAATATTAACTGGTTTAAAATTATTATTTTTTAACATAGCTTACAAAACAAAAATAATTTCAGTTAACTTAATAACCGGGCAGATATGAATACTTGCATAGTACATTACTTACTCAAATAACGAAATAACTCTCGAAGGCTATGAGTACTCCGCATGCTAGAATATTAACAACATGATTTATATATATACCATGAAACTCATTTTGGCCAAGAGAAATTTCGTTTGATATCAGCAATTGAGCAGGTACAAAAACGTACATTTGCATGCATGTATTTTACATACTAAAATATCTTTCCCTTTCAACCATTTAGTTACTTTTTTACCATTTCTTACATTTCATTTTTCCATTAATACATTTCATTTTATGAGTGTGCTCTTATACCTGTCTTCACTCTATTACTAGCATTTTTATTTTATTACACATTCTCAAAACGTATGTATGAATACATATTTGTACGCAATTTAATTAATTTGGAATTAGCGCAAATGGATCGTTTATTAGGTTCCCAAAAAGCAAGGCTAATTTGATATATTTGGAGAAAAATTATTATTACATAGGTATGTGGGTACTCACTTACATACATACATTTCTTCTTACAACTAGCGCTGAAATACGCGTTGAGTTTGTTGTTAGCGTTTAAGCCACTGGTTTATTTCTCATCCTGTACCAAGTGCATCGAACAAAGATCAATTACCCGGAATCAAATTACCGACAGAAATTTCTATTCGGCACATCCGCAATTCGGAGGGCAACCAAGTAGTCTCTAAAATACCGAGTAGCCCTTAAAATCTCAGAATAGTACCGAAAGTCCCAAAACATTTTCGAAGGTCCCATAATCCCGAGAATCATGAAATAGTCCCAAAAAAAGCGAAATATCCCTGAAAATTCCTAAATTATATCGAGAATCCCTAAATAGTGCTGAAAGTCTCGAAAAAAATATCAAAGTACTCAACACCTCCCGAAAAGTAAAACACGAACAATCCCGAAAAATTGTCGACCCAAAGACTTTTTGTAGTATGTATGTACGGTAGTAATATGTATTTAAAGTATTTTCTGAAAGCAATTTGGTCTACTAGCGTTATAAAGGGCACTTAGTATCATTTTAACGATTATAAAAACTTTAGTATGTATTTGAATACGCGCAATACTGCTGTCTGGTTTGAAAAAACGTATCATTCAAATCATAACTTCGATTTTCATCACTACCCTAATAAAGTAACAGGCAAACTCCTCCTTAAAAAATTAAAGGCAGAAATAAATGGCATCTTCTGGCCAAAAGAATAAAAGTCCGCATTCTAAAAGGCATGTAGGAATTATAAAATACAATGAGTGGAGATTGTAATGGTATATTTGAGAATACGGTAGGAAAATTTTTTCAATCAGTCTTCTTGATACCAAAATTAAAAAAAAGAACTTTTATTTCCTGTCTTTAGTTAGGAATAGTTTGGCGCGATGCAAATAATCGCTTTTAAGAAGTCATTAGTATAATTTAAGTTTTCTTTCGTTTTTAGAGTACTAGCTGTTGTAATTTTCATAGAAATTTTAAATAAGATTTACTTAAATGTTTTCTTTTTTGTCTTTTCAGAACTAAGAGCATACATTGACGAACCGTTCATTAACAGTAAGTACAAAAAAACAGAACAGCCCATGTACATATATACACTAGACTGTATCACTCCCCATCCAAAAAAAAATCGGTACTGTTTTTCCATTGGAATTATAAAATTTTTTATATTTTAAGACGTCCACCAAAATATTTCGGGAAAATGTTTGCGTGTGTCACACGATTGGGTATTTGCCAAAATTTGGTGCAAATCATATCCCAACTGCGTGAATACCCAAATATTTATCCCAATCACGAAAATTAATTTGTTTAAATTTTTCAATAGAACATCGATGTATTGTACCAATCTTTTGACTATAAAAGAGGAAAGTTCCCTTTTTTTATTTTGTACCAATAGCCCAATATAAAATGTACTAATCTGTACAAATGAACCAATCGAGTGTCACTGCCTTAAAAATTTATGCAAATTAAAAAAAAATCAAAAAAATTTCGGGTTTTTTTATTAGTTTCTGAGTATGCAGTACATGTTTCAAATGGCTAAAAGCTACGATTGGTTTTTTAGAATTAAAAAAAAAGCTCGAAATTCGTACGAAAGTTTGTTGTGATTTTTTTTTTTTAATATTTCACAAATTTGGAAATTGGGATTTACACGGTTGTACTTATGGCGCCCCTAGTGACTATACACACGCTCCTTAGTAGCCGTGGTTTTCACCGCGGTTCTGCGCAACCATACAACAGCAGAATACGTGACGATGGGCCTGACTAGAGCTATGTATGTATATTCGAAATACCATGGCCGGTCTCAGACCCCAGGTCTTTTTAAAGGTTCTTCGACACTGTCCGAAAAACTTTCAGCACTCGATTTACCTTCAGCTCGACGTGAGTTTTCCATGTCAGCTTCATATCTAGAGTTATCCCTGGATATTTCACATCCTCTAAGCAGTGGAGGGTGAGACCTTCAAATTTTCTTTTCCGTGTAAACAAGACTAGCTGGGATTGACAGGAATACGCTGCAAAGTGCACCATTCAACACGCTTATTCAGGGTTCTCTGTGTCCCAGCACAAACCTCCCGGAGAGATTTACCAGATGATAGTGGATATGAAAGAGGAAAATATATTATTTTTCTGCACCATCCATTATTGATCTTATATATATGTATTAACTCATTCCCTAGGTTTTATTGAAGTGCCTCAATTACTATTCCAGTTATTAATTAATTCCGCACCAAAGCCGTATTAACTTCGCGGGGTAGTTCGCGCGTATGGCGGGGTCGCTTTTTTATCGATTAGGCAAAGTACACTTAATAGTGAGTTGTAAATATTTAGAGATTCTACAATATTTCATCACATTATTATAAATTTACTTCCTAGTGGATTGTCGACCATAGTTTATTTACAATACGTATTATGTCCACGAATGGCCAAAATGAGGAAATTATCTTTGTTATATAGGAATTAATTTATTAAACTCAAACTTTTGTAAATGTTATATAAACTCACTCCTTTTGTCACTCTTCATTATTGTGATAGTTTTATTATCTAATCGCATTAGTTAAACAATATATTTTACTAGATTCTTTAGCTTGATATACAAAATTTCTGTAAGTTATAAATTCAAATGCTTACTAC